AGGTTGTCTTTGCTCTTATTGGTAAGTTTATATTTTTTTTAAAAAAATATTATTCTAAATAAGTATAATTATGATTTAAAGTACCTTTAAAAGAAAAATGGATTTTAAAAAAATATTAAAGTTGAAGCTATTTATAGTAGTGTGTAGTATAGTAGATTCTATCTAGTGTTTATGGAGATTCTCAATCATCCAGCTCATGATTGTCCCAAAGGTGCTTTTTCAAGAGTTCTGAACAAGCTTCTTGGATGTGCCAGGGGAAAAATCCAGCAAAAACAAAGGCAGCACATCACAAAAGTCTCACTTTAGAATTCAGAGGTTCATTTTATTGAATTTAGAACACACATCAACAACCCATTGCAATGAGGACCAACATTGGACTAACCGTCATGACAGTGACGGCTAGAGGCCATGTGGCCATGAACCAGGACCACTCCCAAACTTTTATACCTTTCCACAGATGACCAGCTGAGCTTGCATTACCAAATTCTGTTCCTTGTACTTTCTGTTGACCATGTCTTTCCACATATACCTGTGTACATTTGAAACTTGCACCCATTTGTTACTTTCAGTTCCTTATTTCCCATGGATTCAACGTGTATGTTCTAAATATACATTTGAAACAAGCAACTTTGCAAAATTCTATTAAGCAAACGTCACCTTAGATTCCAAATATTTATTTAGCATTATGAAATAAGCTACAGTAAGAACTTTGGTTCAGTACAATCTTTTTACATGAGGCCTAACTTTAACTGCCTAGGCCTTTCTGTCCTAGAAAAGCTAAGGCACATATTTTCTCTTTTGACAGATGAGAAATGAAACTTCTTCAAGGAAAAACAAAGAAAGTTTAGTTACCTCTTGAAAAAGCACCTTTGGGATTCTATCTAGTGTTGAATGTTGTTTCTCTGCACGCAGATCAGATTCAGTGACAAAACTGAATAACTAGCCTGTTTATTTTGTACCTTAATCTTTTTAAGAAATATACATCTCATTTGTAATTGTTATTATAATGCATTTTGGCTATAACTTTATTTAGAGTAGGATATTATTATATATTGGGGTTGTTATTTGATGGTTAGGTATGAATATCTTTTATATCTTAGCTTTTTTGTCAAACTGAAAGCAGAGATTATTTTATTATATAATTGTAGCTGTATCGAAGAGAGTTACAAGTAACCTTTTTTCTTTATGTTGTATTTGTTAATTTTTTGTATGCTACTTTTTGAACTTTTCCCATTGACCCTCCTTTCTACTTTTCCCTTTTTGTAATTTTATATTTTAACATTTTATCTCTAAAATTAATAAAAATTCTAATATACATAATGTAGAACTCCAAGAAAGAGTTAGATCTTTCAAGGAGAAAATGACCATATTGTAAGGTCCCAGTCCCTTACTTAAACTTGAGATACCATATCAATCTAATCAGATAACCCAAGCGGAGACTTCTTGATCAAGCAGCACTTTATTTGATCAAATTAATCAGCTGGTGTTGTGTCCTGAGCCTGCATCTTGCAGGCTCGGGACGTTGCAAGAGTCCCGGGCATTTGCAGAAGCTGCCCGGGACCAGACTGAGCGGCGCCGGCCTTGTGCGCATGCGCAAGGCGGGAAAAGCCCACCTCATGATTGGTTGAACTTGCCCAGGGATCAGAGGGTATAAATAGAGGCCTGCGTGCCTCTGCTCTGGTTGTTCGTAGAGTGAGCAAACAATAAAGACTTGTTGAAGATGAGTCGTCTCAAGCGCCATTATTCCCAGGACTTAACAGCTGGGTGGCCAACAATCTGGAACACTGGCAGAGTTACGAACACTGGCAGAAGTGCCACACCATAGAAAGTTGGTAGCATTGCTTTATAAACTTGTTAGCCAATGAAAATCAGACAACAGAACCATTACATCATAAAGAAGACATCAATCATTCCTGTACACTCCCTTATTCCCTTCTTCAGTATATCCCATCCATGTGCATGTTTCCCAAGCTTGCATGAGATTTCCCTCGTGCAAAAGCTTATTACAAAAAGCAAGAAAGCAACAGTTAGACAAAACAATTTCCCTTTGTTCCAGAACCCTTCATTCCCCCCTTTATTTTTGTAACAAAATGCTTTCTGTTACTTGATGACCAATGATGTATATTCCTTTGTTATTATGGTGATAATCAGGACCTTGGCTAGCTTATGGGGTTTATCACTACTTACAGAGGATGCTATGACCTTCATCCCTGAGATGGTAGAAGTAACTGTTCTTTGGATAACAGGAATCAAAGATGGCAAAACCAAAAGACCTCTAAATGCTAACATAACCAGAAAATTTTCCCTTCGCCAATCACCAAAGATCTCTCCAAACCAGCTTGTGTCCATGGCAGCTGTCCAGGTTTCCGAAGAAGCTGGATATATTTCCTCTACACATACAGGCAGCAACATGTAAAAGGAAAGCCATACCCCCCCCCTTTAATTTTGTAGTGTTATTTTAACCAATTAATTTTCTTTATCTTTCTGTACGTGTACTTCTTGCCTTGGGCTAATGGAGGTTCCTGCGCAAGCATAGTATAGAGAAGCAAAACAGCATTATGTTATTTTAAATGCCCTTGATTTGTAATAATTTCTCTTTTTTTTAATTTTTTATTGATTTTTCAATTAAAAACAATAACATAAATATGATGCATTTAATCACAATATCAACCAAGAAAATAACACTACTCAATACATTCATGGAAGTGTCCGGTGTCCCCCCCCTGCACCCCCCTCTTTCACTTTCCACACCTTCCTCCCCCCAAACCTACAACCTCTCCTCCTTCCTCCTTCTCTACCTACTTCCCTTCCTCTCTCAACCATCCCGTCTGGTGCAGTTGGGGTATCCACCGGGCACCTCCTCAAAAAATCACATATAAATCTACAAAACATCAATTTATATACATCTATCTATTCCCTTTCCCCCCTCCCCCCCCAGGACTTCCCAGAGCTGAACCAGGAAGTAAGCACACAATAATCCAATTCTATCCAAAGCTACTCATTATTACAACACACTAGTATAAACTTACTGTGACTCTAAAATAACATTAAAATTCATACAAATTTTATAAATATAACAATATTTGTTTTTGTGTATATATGTATATAAAAAAATTTTTTTAATCAAAAGCTACATGATAATTATTCAGTTCATATTTTCTCTAAATATAATCTATCCATCTTCTCCATATTGAGATAAATTTCTCCTGAGAATGATCCTTCAGGTATGCGGATATTTTTGCCATCTCCGCAAAATACGATACCTTCTGTCTCCAATCATCCATAGTTGGTAACGTCTTCTTTTTCCAATTTTGAGCAACTAATGTCCTTGCTGCTGTTATACAATACAACATCAATTTCATTTCTTTTTGATCCAAATTATCCATAATACTCAATAGAAATAACTGCGGTGTGAATTTTATCTTTTTCTTAAAAATCTGTTGGATATTCCACCAAATCTTAATCCAAAAGGCTTTAACATCTCTACATGTCCACCAAATATGATAATAAGTTGCATCCATATTATCACATCTCCAACATTTTGGTTGCAAATTCGGATACATGCAAGACAATTTTTGGGGATCCAAATGCCATCTATAAAACATTTTATAAAAGTTTTCCCTTAAATTCTGTGCTTGGGTGAACTTGACATTTCTTACCCAAATTACTTCCCAAGTTTCTAACATTATTGGTTCTTGAATATTTTGTGCCCATTTAATCATACAATCTTTAACTAGTTCTGTTTCCGAATCAATTTCTATCAAAACACTATATATTCTCCTAATATGGGCTCTACTTTGATCTTTAATCTGTTTTATCAAGTTCACATCTTCTAAAGTTAAACCCAATTTTTTATCTATATGCCATCTATCAACCAACTGACAATATAAGAGCCAGGACTGGAGTACCTTATCCTGTCTTAACTCATCCAATGATTTAATTTGCCAGTCCTGTCCTCTTAACATAAGTAGATCTTTATAAACAATTCCTTCTAATTTTACACCCCTTACAATTCCTTGTATGGCATGTTCCGGAATAGCCCACATTGGAATTTTTAAATTTACCTTACAAGAATACTTTTTCCAAACTCTCAAAAGTGCAACTCTTAAAATATGAGATTTAAAAATACGATCCATTTTCTTATCAAAAAATAAGTAAGCATGATTTGTAATAATTTCTAATACAGATTACAGTCTAACAATTCTATTCAACATACAAACAAGAGTCCAATAACTTATACATTCCATCTTCTTGCTAAGTAGTAGGTCCACCTGGGGCAGTTCAGTTGAGGGTGGCATCTGTTAGATTGGTCCATAAGGTAGACAGTTGGGGAATGTTTGCCATGGGAGTTTGGGGTTGGGCCGAAACAGTGGTAATCCACCAAAAGGATACTGAGGTGCTCATCAACAAGAGATGGTCACACCTAAGTCTCCCCAAGGTTTTTACCAGAACATTCTCTTTTTAAAACAGAGGCTTCCCACTATGGAAGTGGTCAGAGTCTACATGTTGGGTCTATTGGTGGCTTTTCCAGTGATATTTTGACTAATTAGGGCAGTAAAATTTATTTCACGTGCTTCCCAAGGCCATTGTTCACCCATGCTAGTACCCACACACAGATAACAGTTAGTTACATTTAGAGATGAAGCAACCTCCATTCTCAGATGAGTATTGCTTGGCATGATGAATGAATTCAGCTGGTTGTGGTTTATTCAAAAACAATAAGTAAAAAAATCATTACATAAAATGATCTGTGAACTTAGAGATTGTCTTAGTTACAAAGCATAGTTCCATTCTTATCCCAGTTCTTGGTAGCCAATGTCCCTACAATTAGGCAGGGTAAAGCAACGGTATAGATGTGAGGGTGATCTGTCTGTGGCATCTGTCATCCCATTGATTGCCATGGTTGATTCAATTGATCTGGCTAGCTAGGTGGGTATCCTCTTCCTCACTCATAGTTCCATTTTCATCCCTCCTGAAGCTGTGTGCTCAGTGAAAGAGGATGACCATCCCAGATAGAAGGAGTGTAGTAATCTTTGGTCAAGGATATATGTGGTGAAACCAGTGGCAAGCCTTGACCATTTCTCTTGGGCTTATCCAACTGTCCCTATCTGTTGGAAAATAGAACTTTGCCACATAGTCCATCCAGCACCTCCACAACCAACCTCTTCCACTGATGTTAGTTCACCATTATAGCTGACATAAGATTCAGGTGACCATCCAAATATTTTAGGAATACTATAGCAAAATATCTTGGGTGACTCCTGTCAATGTAATTTAAACATGAAATACACTTTATAAATATAAGCATGCAATGAATTTCACAGACTTGGTGCTATGGTCTGTGATTTGTTCACATTATAGGTATTGCATAGAACTGGAGATGTTGTGACATTTATTTCAAAAAATGAAAATGTGCAAAATAGAGTATGAATGTTTCCAGACAGACCACTACCAGTGAAGTATGTTTTGCAGTGTCATTTTTTCTCTATATGATTTTATACATGGTAAGAAAAAATATGGAGGATATGATAAGAGAATGTGAGAAGTTTTACAAATAAAATATGTTATTTATGGAGCCACTTAAATTTTATTTCTGAAGCAGGCCTATTGCACAGTAGCACTCTTAGCTGGAAGCAGCTTAATATCCATTAGATAAAATAATAATTTGATTATTTTTTTTGCATAATAGCAAAAAAAAAAAGGTTGCCTGCGTATCCCTTTGTTATTTTATACAGGTATGATGGCAGAGCAGTTTGTTCCTGATGGACCTCATTTGAAGCTATATAATTATGAAAAAAAGCAGTGGAATTACTTAATGAATTGGCAGCATGCAACCATGTACCTCTTCTATGGCATCTCAGGACTAGTGGACATTGTGACTCACAGCACAAATATATTACCTGAGGCCTTAGACCGAATGATGCTCTCACTTGCTGTTTTTGTGGAAGGTGAGCTTATGGTATTTCACTGCACTGTTTATGTAGAAAAGTTTTCTGAACCCAAATGAAAAAGAATAGACTAAATTTATCTATTAAGGTAACTATGTCATGTAATCAATATGAGAAAGGAAACAGAAATAGGGAACAAAAATAGATATTTAAAGACTATGAAATAATGAATTAATAAGCATGTTTTAATAAGCATCTATTTATTAGTGATACATGCAAAGTGGAAGATTTGTTTTATTTAAAGAGATTAAGAATTCATTATGTTTGAAATAATTTAACATTACTATCTGAGGATAAATTATGTTTAAAGAGATGAAACAAAAATCACTGTATAGTAAGTACTTTAAAGGATGTTGTTTAATATATTAATCATGTAAACAACCGAAAATCTTCCACAGTAGCAGTCCTGAATTACATTATCTAGCATCTGCTTAAAGAATATGGCTCAAGTAAATAGATTGTGTTATTTATTTGTTTGTTTATTTATTTATTAAACGTTATACAAAGTTAAATACAACATCCTTCTGCAAATTTGAATGCATACATCCTATATATGTTTAAACATTCAAAATAAGAACATCATGACTCAAGGCACTTGTACTTTATAATTCCTGTGGTGGCAATAACAGCTTCCAAAGGTTTTTTATATAACCTGCTAAGACTCTTTGGAATTAAATACATACCGGTAGTTTGCATGACACAAAACCCAAAGGTTTTTTAGCAGCAATCATGTATGAAACCTGCAGAATAAAAAGTAGTTGACTTCTCATTCCCTTTCAACAGGTTTTCTATTTTATTATCACATCCATGGGCGTTCCATGTTAGATTTTCATGTTCATCAGTTACTTTTAATAACTATCTTTGGAGGTGCCATCTGCATATTCTTGGAAGTCTTTTTCCACAATAGCATTGTTCTTGAGATGTTCCGAACAAGTCTTTGCATATTGCAAGGAAGTTGGTTCTGGCAGGTGAGTAAATATATATTTTTTTCTTCTTGATGCATTTAAAAAAAATCTTTTGAGATTAGAACCAGGATCAGCAAATGAGATTCTCCAAATAGCTGCTGAACACTTACTGGATACCAGCTTATTCACTGCTTCAACCTGTCTCTGCTTCTCTTTATCTGCTAAGGTGACTGCAGTGTAATGATATTGGAGATTACTCTGCATTATTGTAAATATTGCATGACTGGTATGTAATACCTGATTCACACTTTCCCCTGTCCAAAACAAGTTCTTCATCTCGGACCATCGTCCCCTGCTTATCATCATCCCAACTACCTTGACCTGTCTCTTTAGTCCCTAATAAGGTCAGCAAGCGTATTTTTAAGATAGTCAAGAATGCTTCAGCACTACTGACTATATGGGAAAAAAGGATGTCAACCAAAGAAATGTAGCCTACCTCAGCCTTAAGCTATAATAAAGAACACACAAAGCAGAAAGGAAATTTTATAACTGTATGTATTCATGGCAATTTATATAGCCATCCTTTCTAAAACAATGTAGGATGATAACTAAAAAAGAAACGAACTTAAAATATAATTGGACACAAAGCAGTTTTCACCAAAGGCAATTCAAGATTTGAAACAGCCACCCCAGATAGCTCTACAAATCCTCCTGACCCAATGCCTGGGTCTTCAAAGCATTACCTAAAAGCAGGAAAATTTGGGGGCATGTGGATCTGGAGGGGGATGCTATTACACAGGGTAAACCAGCTTGAGAAAAGGCATGTTAGGTATGAATGACCAGACCACATGTGTAAAGTGTAAACTAGATATTTTATTGTTCTATGCTAATTTCACAGGAATCTTATCAGACGGCAGTTTGCCCCTGAGAAAGACTAGATAAAATCCAACAACATTCAAGAAGTCAGGCCTTGCCTCTTGTGTTTACTTAATGACTCCAAACTAATTACCAGTTTGACCCCTCATGACTGAGATAGCCGCTCTCCAACAGCTCCCCAAATCTGAGTATATTATCCCAAATTGGGTAAAATGTGCTTTTCTTTGGGTAATGACACACAAACCCATTATCCAATCACAACTGGGACATTTAAATAAGGACTTTCTGATAGGCAGTTTTGTTTAATAAAGGAAAAAGTTTGGAAAGCACTAGTTTAAGAGATGGGCCCTGAAGCATGGAACCCTACCAGATCTTATTGAAAAGCAGATATACAGTAATTGGAGAGAGGTAATCCCAGTATTTCTAATGCCCTTTTCTTTTTTTTACAGATTGGATTTGTCCTTTACCCTCCAAGTGGAAGTCCAGAATGGAACCAAGTGGATCACAGTAATATCATGTTTCTCACCATGTGCTATTGCTGGCATTATGCAATTATACTTCTTATCATGGCAGTCAATTATATTCTAATCAGCTGGTAAGTGAATATTATTGGTATTCTAAAGAACTTCACTTAAATGTCAAGAATTTCACACTTTATTTAAAATCTCCATTTATTCAAAAATAGGTACTCCAATTGGATAGGAATGAAAAATTATAGTAGTTTACAGATGCAATGGCATTCAACCTATAACTTTTGAAATACACAATTGTTCCTTGATGCCTGCATAGAAATTGCAAACAAATTGCATATGTACAGTTGTATACATAAAACTGTGTATACAATTATATACACAGTTATATAAAAGCTGTTCATACTAGTGCTGGAAGAATGTCAACTCTTTAATTTCTTACTGAGATTCTTTTAGTTAGCTTTTTTATTTTGATATCTATGTAGTCATTCAGCTCAGCACACAGGTTTGGAAGACCTTACTATTTAATACTTTGATTTTGCCTATTATTTTTGTTGTTTTATAATCTAATATTCCCAACAGGTTGTACTTCTTTGAGATTAGAATATAAGGACAAAATCAAAGGACAAAAACATATCGAGACAGCAGATTAAGCCATGCATTGGATTTCATATATCATAGATCTACATGACACAGATTATAATATATTAACTGGATGTCACTGGACATAATACCCTAGTGATGTTAAACATTAAGAATGAAGAGTGCGTCTATCCATCCATATAATTTATTGGCCACACAATAATACTGGTATAATAAGAACAACTTTGGAAAAAGAAGGCTAAATATTGTAAAAACAGATGGAATAGTAGAGTTGGTTTTTGCATTCAGTGTGCCATCTTATGTAAAAATAACTATTCCTCTACTTAATCATTGATTAGCTTAGAATGTGTGATGGTTTGCATGAATTGTTCTTGTAACTTTTCTTCTCCAGGGTGGTTCGTACCAAAATAATGCAAGTCCCATCCATGGAAATCGGATTGCTGAAAACCTGTGAGCGAGAACAGGAGTCAGAAGATGAAATTTAATTCTACAGAAACATTTTCTCATAGTTCACTTTCTATTTTAGTATTTCTAGTCCCTAGTGATTCTATTTTTTTCATTATTTAGTCTTATACAATTTAAACATTAATTTATGAAAATGCCATTATGGCATTGTTTTTCTCAATTGAAGTAGAAACAGATGGCATTGTAGCATCTCAAATGAGAATCAGTTCTGGCTATTAACAAATGGTGGATCCACTCTTTCATTGTTCTTGGATAAAGTAAGAAATTTTCACATATTTTTCAAAAGCCAGATGCAATCCTAATGTAGCAGAAAATGGGATATATATTAAAATAGTAAAATGAATCAATTATACATTATCACTATTTATAAATATAAAGAATTTCTAGGATAGATTTCAAATTTATATTTGTAAATGTATTGCTTTGTTTCTTATTTTTTTATTTTTGTAATTATTTATTATAATTATAATAACCTAATAAGTATACAAAAAGCCAAATATTTTGTTTCAGCAAATAATGATGTCCACAAATTACTGTGTATATTACTTTGCATATGAGAATTACCTACAGCAGAGTTGGCTTATTTTTATAAAAAGAAGAAAAAAACTATGAGGTCAAATTATATATCAGATGATTTCTGTATTTTGAATTCATTCAGTGCAAAGAAGACTCACACTGTGTTTCAAATCCCTATTTTGCAATGACGCTTATGCAAACCTTGGAGAAGAGATTCACTGGGTTCAAGATTCACATTATGAAGCAATTTTCTCCAAGTCACTAAAGCACCTGTGCAAGGCACTTCTGGTGTGCGTGTCTATGTGTCCAAAAAGTCATGATTGTATTGCAACCATGCAATCACAGCCCACCCCTTTTTTATGTGTATCACAGAAAATTTTGCTGCACACAGACAGAGAAGTTATGAATCACTGTCAGATAGGATCACAGCTGGTATTTTTTGTGACATGAAGATAAGTATAGCCTTACAAAATGTGAAGAGGATTTGACTGACTGACTTGACAGTATGTTTTTGACAAATAAACCAAAAATTGTTATTTGTAAACAAATGCTAACATACCTTTGCAGTGTTGTAGGATGGTGAACATGTTTAGAATACTGTGTTTATACAGAGCCCAGAGCCTACATTTGCTTTTAGTAATATGTGATTGCTTAAACTGTTTTACTTTAAGTTTCAGTTCATGGGTATCTGTAGAGGCAGGGACAGTGACACAGTAAGCCATCACTCGTTGAAGCAAATGATGCAATGTGACATCCTTGTGTTCCATTATAATAATTTATATCATTACATCACCCTGTTCAAGATGCTTGTCTTTCAGTGAGTATTCCAGTTGGGAAATCCAGTCAAATATTGACCCAGCCTAAATATCAGATTGCCTTTTTTGTCCTTGGGTTCATGTTTACAAAGAGCTTCTATTCCCTGTATCTTTTCCCAGCCAGACTCTCTTTCCACCAGTCACTGTTAACTATCAACTGTAGCTCCTCTTCCACCATCACTCCCTACCCAGCCATGGGCAGCTACAGGCATTGCCTGAGTCACCTTCACCAAGTCAAAGATGTAAATTTTATTTATTTATTATTAAATTTTTATGTCGCTCATCTCACTGACACAGGTACCCTGGGCAAAGACTATACATCAGGGGTGTCAAACTGCCGGCCCGTGGGCCAGACGCGTCATCCGGAAGCTGCGCCCACCCCATTGCCGGCAATGGCAAAACCATCCCGATACGTTGCGCAATGTCACGTTGCAAGTTTGACATGTCTACTATACACCATAGGCTTGCTTATCTATGCTCTCTGTTAACACAGATAAAAAGCAATCAGTTGTAGGCAATCTTCCCTCTCTCCCCAATATATTAGTAGATGCCTTTTATCATTTCTCCAGTTTGGCATTTTAATATCATCTCTGCATATTGCGAGAAGGACTCTTTGCATGAATTCTATTTATCTGAAGTAATATGGCATGAAACAATGCTCAGGAAAGACTACAGGATATGTGCCTTTAGTTTTAACTTACAGTACATACTCAGGTTAGAATATCTAATTTGAGATAAAACATTTAAGAATGTTAATGTAATTAAAATATGTATATTATGTGTCTCTTTTTTTCAACAATTATACATTTGAAGAACTCTGTGGTTTTATATGTATATGGAATACAAAAATGGCCATATTCATTGCTATTTGAAATGCACTTTCTATGTACCAAATATTTGTTTTAAAACAAATTTTCTAATTCAGGAGTAAGGAGAATCCTCTCAGCTGATCACAGGTGGTTCAAGTCCTTTAAAATTATCAATAGTTATTAGGTTTTAATAATATTTCAATGTATTATAGTGTATGTTGAAATAAAAAGTTTTCGTTTATTTTGAAGTAAGCACAAATGTATGATATGAGCTACTTTTTATTCTAGAATCTATAGACCAATCTAAATATGTTTGTTCTAAAAATTGAATCTTATGACCTTTGGAAACAGCTGGTCATTTGTTGCTCAAGTGAGACTTCTGATTGATTTGTTGTATCTTTGTTTTCTTGACTATTACACTGCTTAGCATCTCTCTCAAACAATGGTCATGCCTCAAACAATGGTCATGTATCAATGTAAGAACAGGAGTTTAATATAGCTAGACATAATGGCATCCTGGAAGACATAGTTGCTATCTGTTTCAAATTCACTGCTCTCAAATTCACTGCAATCGGGCATTAGGCTAAAGAAAAGCATTGAGGATATCTCTCTTTTGTCTTCTCCTCATAGCATCTCCTAGCCAGGTGAGCATCATTGAAGACATCCATTAATATGGTAAAGAGAATGTTGTTATTCCAGAGATTCTATTACCTTAGGATTCCAGAGATTCTATTACCTTAGGATTCCAGAGATTCTATTACCTTAGGATTAAAACCAAGATATGTTGTATGCAAGAAATTCAGCTGCCTGATACACACTGCCCTTAATGACTTGGATCTATGCTATAGCCATTGGTTACTATGGAAGCCTGGATCCAGCTCATATAATATTTCATGCCATTATCGTATGAAAAAAGAGATGGCAAGAGTCAGTTCTGAGAAACAGAGTGAAAAAAAATCAAATCAGCCTTGAAGCTTTACAATCAGAAGCATCTGCAATCTCATGTCATGCTGCACTGCATCTTATACTGCCTATATCTGGATGCAGATTGTTCTAAAGATACATGTGAATCAAATTCAGAAAATATAAAAAGACTTTCTGAACCAGTACAACTACATACTTTAGGAGTGATACAGAAATGTAACAACTGCTTCTCTTAAAACATTACAGTTGTCTTCATCTAAGCATGAATTATATGCATTACTAGCTGTACCTGGCCACGCGTTGCTGTGGCTTAGTCTGGTAAAAGTGTGTGTTGCTTTTACGTCCAACAGATGGCACTGTTTTTCAAAAAAAGCATGTTTTTACCTGTCACAGGTGTGACATCTATATAATATAGGTATATAAAAACACGCGCGTATTCGAATGCAACGTTGTGTCAAAATTTCAAAGCAATCAGTGAAGAGCTTTTGGAGATTTAAGATTGTGAACAAACGAACATTTACATTTTTATTTATAGATTGGTGTGGAAATATAATTATAAAGGCTCAGGATTTACGTATTTGAATGCAATATTAAAGGCTTCTTAAAACAGATGTACATTTCAATTACATATATATATATACACATATATACATATACACATATACACATACACACACACACACACACACACACACACATATGTAATTAGTTTGCAATTATGAATTGATTACAAGTAGTCCTTGATTTATGTACTGGAGTCTGCCCATTACGGTCGTAAGTTGTGAAGGTAGTAAAATGTCTCATCATATGAGTGATATGATTTTACGATTTTTTTTGCACCATAGTTATTAAGTAAATCCATGGGCATTAAGAGAAGCCATTGTTCGCTATGGGACATTTTTGCAAAAACCTGCTTTTTTTTGGCAAAATTTTTGTAAATCATGATCATTTGACTGCAGGATGCTGCAAATGACTGTAAATGTGAGTGGGTTGCTGAGTGCCTGAAATGCAATGTCATGTGACTGCATGGGGAAGGGTGACATCAGAACTTCAGAACCTGATTACCTGTCATAACTTTAAACAGTTGCTAAGAGACCAGTCATAAGTTGAGGACTATTTTAACGCTACAAAAATTCTTTTAATGTTTTGGAGTTCCACTGCCATTTAGTGGACATGGATAAAGATGCTACCGGTATCCATTCAACTGTGTCAGATTCTTAGTGATTTTATGGATTAGCTCTCTCCACTTTTTTTGAGAATGCTTGGCTTCTCTCATTGTTCTATGCTCTGGCTGATGTTGGATTTGCAATTTCATGCTTTCGCTGCTTTGATCAATGTACGATTCTAGGAAAATGCATTTGATTTCTTCACCATCAATTGGTATTTTAATATTTCCATTTCTCACAGTGATCATGAGCTTGGTCTTTTTGAGGTTCAAAAAAAGGCCAAATTTCTCACTTTCTTTTTTAATCCTTTTGATCAGATGTTTCAGCCTTTTTTTGCTTCTTAAGAGAATTGTGTTGTCAGTATATCAAAGATTGCTAATGTTCCTTCCTTCAATATTTACTCTAATTTTTTTAATTTTCAAGTTCTAGCTTCCTCATGATCACTATAGTATATAGGCTGAATAAGAACGATGGAAGAATGCAACCTCACTATATTTCTTTTCCTACTCTGAAGCCATCAATGGATGTGGTGTTGCATAGTATCTTTCAATATAAGTGGCTACCCCAACTTGTCCAAATGTGTTGTCCCCCCAGATCTTCTAAGCTCTCCATTGCTTGTCACGATTGACACAAAGCCTTTCTTGTAGTCAATAAAGCAGGTGTATATGTTATTTTGATATTCTTGATATTTTCCCATAATCCAATGTAGGTTTGCAATATAATTACAGATGCCATGATCCGTACTAAAGCCAGCTTGAACATCCCATTATTGAAAACATTTTCTCAATTGGGGATTGCAGGAAAAGAGATACACAATAGAGCAAACATTTGCACAATGCCTTTCATTTAGACTAAATCAAGCTCAAAAGATAGAATATATGGGATCTTGTTTAGAATATTAATTATTCTAATTATTATTTATTTAGAATAAATAATTACATGGAACTATTCTAAATAATTATTTAGAATAATAGTTTAAATAAACAAAGCAAACAACTTGCTATTTCCTGAAAAAAAATCAGGATTTTGCCTAGGAAGAACAAATATTTTTACTAGAAAGGAAATTTTATAAAAGCATGATCTAAAGTAGCCTTATAGGCTACAGATGAATGTGCTGAGCAGCTGAAACTACTGCCAAAAAAGCCAATGCAGTCCTTGGCTGCATCAACAGAGAGATGGCGTCAGAACAATGAGAAGTGATAGTGTCATTTAGTGAGACCACACTTAGAATATTGTGTCCAATCCTGGTCACCATGATACAAAAAAAAATGTCGAGACCCTGGAAAGTGTGCGGAGAAAAACAATAAAGATGATAAAGGGCCTGAAGGCTAAATCATATGATGAATGGTTGAGGTATGGAAGCTTGGTATATCTAGCTTATGAAAGAGAAGGATTGGAGGGGACATAATAATTGTCTTCCAGTACATGGGGGGCATGTCACAAAGAAAATGGGATTGATGTATTCTCTAAGGCAGGGCTTTTCAACCTTTTCACAGATTGTACCACTTTTAGATCATGACAATATTCGAGTACCACCAATGCTTAGAAAGGTGTCAAAAACTTGATGACTTAAAAAAGGGGAATTTTGGACTTTACTGATTAGATTGATTTTTTGTTATAGAAATGGCTAGTTTATACTATTATGGAAAAGTAAAAAGTTGAGGTTTGATGTTAATGCTTCATTCTACTGCAATAGAGGAAGCTCCAAGTCAATACCTTTTCTTTTCTTTTTCTCTTCTCCCGCTCACTTTTCTTTCCCTTTTTCCTCCCCACTGTTTCCTACTATTTGCTTTTGTATTTTTGTATTTTATTCTATAATTTAATAAAATGTTACAAACCATTTTTAAAAAAGGAAAAAAGTACCGATTTTACTCCTTCTTTTATAACCTCTCTTGTCTCCCCCTCCTCCTTTTATATCCTCTCCTCTCTCCCCCCTCCTTTTATATCCTCTCTTCTCTCCCCCTCTTCCTCCTTTTATATACTCTCCCCCCTCCTCCTTTTATATTCTCTCCTCTCTCCCCCCTCCTCCTCCTTTTCTCTTTTGGGTACACTGGAAGCTTCAATCAGTTGGAGCTGTGCATGCCAATACTGGGCTCTCAGCAGAGTCCCGGCAACACCACAGCTCCAGATGACTCTTCTCCAGGCCTCTTTGGCGCTGCCACCACTTCAGTTCATCCACTTTTACCCTTTTTTTACAATGCTTTTCAACCTGTCATATGCATACCACCTGCCAGGTGCTGAAGTACTACCAGTGGTACATGTAACGTGAGTTGAAAAGCCCTGCTCTAAGGCACCAGAGAGCAAGAGAAGAAGTAATGGGCAGACGCTTGTTAAAGAGAGATTCAACTTAGAAGTAAGGAAGAATTTTCTGACAGTAAGAACAATTAATCAATGGAATAGCTTGCCTCCTGAGGTTGTGGGTGCTCTATCGCTGAAGGTTTCCAAAAATAGGCTGGACAACCATTTGATGGGGTTGAACTAGAAGACCTCCAAGGTCCCTTCCAGCTCTATGATTCTGTGACTAATGCTGCCCAGACATTCACTGATGCCATTTCTAAACATTTCAGCAACTACAATTCCCTAGTGGGGTCCAAATCTGCTCAAAACAGCAATAATTAATAGCAATAATAGTAAACATTATTACAATTATTTATTTTAGCAAAAAAGAAAATAACAAAAGCAAAACTATATTTGTAATTTTTCCATAATATACTAAAATGCCTGAATGATATTCTAATATGCGAAAACCATAATTCAACACTGAAACAGCCATCTAAAGTGATTATCCATTAATACGATGTCACTACTAAAGAGGCCTTTGCCCAAGTGGTCATTCACCTTGCTCCATTTAGCAAGACACCGGAAGTATAGCCTCAGGTTGCTCTTGCACATGTATCCAGTCCATCAACATTTTTAGGGACTTGTCTCTTTTAACAAACTCTCTCTGGCATGCTAGAAAAGAAATGTGAGAAGGAATACTTATGCATGATCAGAGTCATCAGACTTACCCAACTCAGTTCCTTCCTGATTTGTTGAATTTCAGCTATTGGTGATTTATAGATTTAATGATTAGAAAAGGTAGCAAATGAAAGAAGGAAATTATGATGTAACCTTAGAGAGACGGTGAAATATAAATGCACATATAGC